AAGTTGTTGTCGATTTCTAAAATATGAATTTTCCTATAACATATAGATGTTCAGTGCACGATGCTTACATTGCTTATTTACATAAAAACAGATAGATCGATATGAAAGAAAAGTCGTACAAATTACTTTTGTGGTTTGGTTAACACTCCTTAAAAAGGTATGAAAGAAATAAGGCAAAGTATGGAAAAGATTATAACTAACGAGAAAATTGTGAGGTAAACGACTGTAAATATACAAAGGCAAATAAATGCGTTCCACACTTCACATGGGATGAAAACATTTTTTGGATTATACCTTGATTCCACACTGTACTTCTGGTACTAGTATGAAATTCTCAGCATTTAATATTGGTAGCCCAATTTTGCAGGCCGGCCATCGATGTCAGGTGTGCAAAGGCAAGGGATCGAACCCTGAACCATTTATATGGTCTGTGAGAGTTTTAACCGCTGTGCCACTGACGCATATAAGCTCCAAAATATTACGCACTCAACATTGCCATCAAGAGCTCTTAGATATTGATTACTGGTATACAGGAGACTCAGTAAAAGAAACTTATTCTTCAGCACGCCGCTTGGACGAGTGAACTTCAATTTTAGTATTCAAGTGTTGGTTTGTAGGGATTTGATTGGTTTCAGGATTTCATCATGAGCTGACATTAGTTAGAGAACCATTGGAAAACCAACTGGGAGTACTGGACAGTTGTTTCGTCCTAGTCTAGGACTCTTCAGTAGTACACACCCACCATCATGGTTCGAACCCAGGACCTTCTGGTTACAAGACGAGCTCGTATACCATCAAGCCACTGGGACCCGATCCAATGGCCCATGAATTCTAACTTCTGCCAATTCACGATATAGCGCAACCGCTAGCCAATGTCTTCGGCGAGTATTTGTCCTCACACCGGACCCGCTGCACCCTACTGGTCACGACTTCCCACTGGAACCTCAGGTAACTACCTACCTGAATACGGCCAGTCGCTTTTTTTATTTTTTTATTTTTGATTACAACTTGATTCCACACTGTACTTCTGGTACAAGTATTGAATTTTCAGCATGGATATCGGTAGCCCAAATTTTGCAGGCCGACCATAGATATCAGGTGTGCGTCGGCAGAGGATGGAAATCCGGCGAGAGTCCTGACCACTGTGCCACCGACGCTAGGGAGCATCTCATTGATATTTAAGTTTTGGTTTGTAGGGATTTGATTGGTTACAGGATTTTCATCATGAGCTGACATTAGTGTGAGGGTGTGAGGACAAATACTCGCCGAAGACATTGGCTAGCGGTTGCGCTATACCGTGAATTGGCAGAAGTTAGAATTCATGGGCCATTGGATTGGGTCCTAGTGGCTTAATGGTATACGAGGTCGTCTTGTAACCAGAAGGTCCTGGGTTCGAATCCGGTGGTGGGTGCGTACTGCTGAAGAGTCCCAAACTAGGACGAAACAGCTTTCCAGTACTCCCTGTTGGTTTTCCAATGGTTCTCTAACTAATGTCAGCTCATGATGAAAATCCTGTAACATCTGTATTTGTTTGTTACCGTGTAATGATAACATATTATTAAGTCAGAAACGATTGCTGTCTGGTAAGTATTTGCTATTTAGTCCATCTCTGAAAAATTACTGTAACAGTTTAGACACAGCATACAGTATAAAGATTGGTTTTAAATTTTAAAAATACTGGATGACATTGGTCTCTAGATTTCTTATTTCTTCTGAACTTTCCAGTCTTTGAATCTATAACGTTTTACGCTAACATCCGAATTTGTACTCACTTACCTTGTTTTACGAAAATATGAATAGACGTTGTTAAGACCATTACTAAGCAATAATATTACGGAATTATATTTAGCATGAATAAATCAATAAAGTTAAAGCAATTATCTGACTATTAAAACTTCATTTAATTAAGGTATAACAATTTGATTAGCAAAAATCAATTCATCGTTCTTTTTTGGATTGGAAAGTATTGATTATGTTAGTGAGGCAATGGTAGAAATGCACAAACGAATTATGGGGTTGAAGTAAACTATGAATGTTTATCATACTTAAAGTCATCAAGAAGTGAAATATTATAATACTTTGAGAAAGCTATTAGCATTAAATAGCGAAACGTTAGTAAAAATAATATCGTTTTGTTTTTCATTCATTGGGAAATACAAAAATCTTTATTATAATGAGAAGTGAAATATTTCATCACACTGAGGAATCCTAAAACAAACTACTGTAAGATACGAGAATCTCAAGATAATCGTACGAAAGACACCCAGAAAAATAGGATGTTAATGCAGCAGCATGGAGACAAATGTCCAAAATAAATTATGCAATAGGTAGAAAGAGTAAATAAAGGATTGGTTGGGAAAGAGATGTCACTAAGATGTTCTTCATTAATAATGCTTCTTTTAATTTTTTCGAGTTATAATATGCATCAAAGTCAATAGCCTCATTAAAATTAAAGGACAACATTTTATGAATTTTCTTGGATAAACACAGAAACGGGATGGGATAGACGTCAGGAAATAAAACAGATCGCCATTTCGAAATATTCTTCAACCAAAAACTGATAATTTAGTTTTTGGTGTGATGAGTGAATAAAATGTAAACAAACGTTAGGGGCAACATGAGTCTGTTCAAGCTTGCAAATGCACAGTGCAGTTGAGGGCTAGAAAGAATGAACCTCGGGTTACCAGTTTTCCTGGTACAACATAATTTTATCACCTCCCTTGAAAATACTATGAATTAGGTTAATTCGTATCTCTAAAACTGCACATTAGCTCTTCAATTTTGTAGAGTCGAAAAACTATTCAATAAAGTAGTTTCTCAGATCTATGAAATTTGTTGTTTTATTATGTGAAAGAAGTATGGTTTACGCCAACATTTTATGAAATTATAACAACTCTTTCAAACTTACTTAATCCACCATAAAGAACTAAAAAGTACTTTTCTGCGATCCTAGTTAATTTACCCATAGGCTGATTGAAACTGTTTGAAATTCAACATTGTTAGTAAATTTCATTTCTTCACAAGAATAAACACTACATAGTTGAAGGATTTACAAGTGAATTTATTGTGTGACGACTGGCTTTTTCATAAGCTATCAGTTAAGAAACCTTTGAAAATCAGAAACTACTATATAACAGCTCCTTACTAGTTCAGAATTCCTCAGATCGATGAACCCAACCTCAGTCTTCTAGGTAAAGAAACCAACCTTGGAATACCGAAGTCTGTTAGGGTAGGATTTATGTTTAATTGACTGGTGATATAATACAAATGCAGACCAACTATATCACAGAATAACTGTCCAGTTTACCAACATGCTCAGAGTTACTAATTAAGAAATCTCATTAAAACTTTTGATTTTTCTTTTGAAAATAGTCATCAGTAAACAATATATCGAAATTAAATTTTCATTTGCGAATTCCCATTTACGCATTTAGAAACAACAACAGAGTGCGCAAAGAAATATATTCTTGTTCAGTTAGTTCCCCAGCATCGGCTTTACACTAATTTATACAATTTTTACATCGACAAGTTTTAGTAATCAAGTGGTTCTTAGAGCTAGTCAGTTTCAGGTGATAAAATGCGGATTGACTTAAGGAGGTAAGAAGTCATCAAAAGAACTAAAGAATAGATACTAGTAACAAGATATCTAAGTTTTACAGGCAAAACAATCTGAACTACATCTAAATAGCCTTTCAGTGTTTGTTTATATTTTTGATTTAATATCAATCAAGAATCTACAAATTCATCGACTTTGATAAAAATATATGTTTACAACAATCAGGCTATTTTATGAACTTCAACATAACATTAAGAAGATATTTTTTGAAACGTGTGATGCATTTGTGGAACACACTTCAAACATTCTGACATACACCTACTGCTTATATATATTTGTATAAAAGGTGAGAGAGCATGAAGGATAACAACTTATACCAACATTTGTCAAAATATTTACGGGTCATGATCGCTGACTAATAAGACGTGGGAAGATGAGGTAAGAAAAACAGCGGGTAAAAATATCATTCAGTAAAATAAATCTTGGGACAAATAAAATCTCCTGATTCAGCTAACCTAGAAACACAGTCCAGCGTCACCTATAGCAAAGAGCATCATAGATAAGGGTCACAAACTGATTTCAGTATCTTCTTTAAATCTATACATACGTAAATTCATTGAAGCCGTGGACATAAGGAGGCTTCAACCCGGTTTTTATGTGTTTAAAATTATGGTCATGACAATGAACGTGACTTGGTAGTCCAATTTTACAACCAAGATTTATTTTACTGAATGATATTTTTACCCGCTGTTTTTCTTACCTCATCTTCCCACGTCTTATCAGTGAGCGATCATGACCCGTAAATATTTTGGCAAATGTTGGTATAAGTTGTTATCCTTCATGCTCTCTCACCTTTTATACAAATATATATAAGCAGTAGGTGTATGATCAGAATGTTTGAAGTGTGTTCCACAAATGCATCACACGTTTCAGAAAAATATCGTCTTCTTAGCACTTCTCTGACTGTAAAGCACAGGAGATACGTACTGGCTTATTGAAGCATCTCACCATTAAGAAAAAGTACCCACTACCAGTGAATATATATATATATCCAAATTAATTTCACATTTAATAGTTTTGAAATATTAAATTTCTGTATATAAACTGAGATTTTGTAAATTCTGGCTTCATGTTACTTTTTACAAATCTGCTGGCATTAAATAACGAAATGTCAGTAAAAGCAATACGGTTTTGTTTCCTTATTCATAGAGAAACATCTAAGTATAACAAAGGAAATAGAGTTGATTCAATGCTCTTAGTCAGTAAAACCTAGCTTGCGAGGTCGGAAAGCATAATGTATGTACAAAACAGATTTATGGTTAGTATTAACTGCAGAAATATTGCAGCCAGGATCCTAACGATGCAAATAACTGTGAAAAAATAAACAGGTTATTTGTTAAGGAAGAATGAAATGATTACCGATAATAACTGAAGAGTAACTTACACTTCTCTCCGCATCAGATAATAATAATTTGTCTACTTCATTGGCAATATTTCTAGCTATATTTGGATCAATTCCTTCAGTTCTTGCTTTTTCATCAATAGATATTTTCCTTGGTAAAATCCCATTCTCTGTGGCGGCAACCTATTTTTGTAAAGAAGACGACTGGTACAAGGAAGTTAATTTATTGACAGAGCAATTTGTACAGACTGTCATAAATATCCAAATATAATGGCTGCTTACTCAAAGGGCACTGAAAGCTTTCGAAAATATTTACAAAATCATCATATTGAACCGTTGATGTTTCAAACGGAGGATTGCCAGGAAGAAAAGACACGTATTGAGAGAACTCCAAAGGAAGAAACTTATTCACAACGGTGCTTATAATGATTTAAAAGGACTAGGATCTGTTTGGCTTACAAATAAGGCCTACTGAAAATTCACAAAAAGCAATTCCCGTTGAGATTTATACTTTCTCTGATCAACTCACCTCAGCAAATAGTTGCTGGTCGGCTTCCGAAGAAGCGGGAGTCCGTTTTTCAAAGGTCAGCTGTGTGCACCATGAAAAATTCATTCCATTTCACCGACTGCGTGAACCGCATGAATGTTGTAAATAGGTCCATGGTCCCATTCAAGGTAACCTCCTTGTTCACAACAATTCTAATCAATGAAATGGTCAACATCATTTGTTAGCATTCTGATGTTCCCCAATCATATTGCCGAATTTAAACGCCAACTGCCTATATGTACCATGGATATACAATTCAAGTTTGACAACACCCAACCACCAAATGGATAACGCAGCTCTGCGCAGTACACTCAGTCCTGTGTTTAGCAGACATCTTCAAGTCCAACCTTGAGAGAACAAAGTTGAAGCCTGTAACTGACGGAAAAACCTATTGTCGATATCCCTATGATACACGTGTAGTATGCAGCAGTGATATTCACGCGTCCTACCTACTTGGATTATTCAATAACGCACATACAAACACTGAATTCATTATGGAACATGAAATTGATGGGAAGTTTCATTTTCTTAACATCACCACGTAGGGAGTCAACGATGATAGTCTCCAGAGATCAATTTACCAAACGCCTACATGGAATGAAAAATACATTTAACAGTTTTTGTTCAAATAGCTATAAAAGAGCACTGTCAGAACAGTATTTTATTCAGCCGGAAAAATAGGCCCTACAGAAAAATTCAAGAGAGTTTCTGATTCTCGAAAAGCCATTGAAAAACAATGGTTAACCATAGAAATTCATTAATAAGCATCAAGATGTGAAGGTTCAAATGTCAAAGAAATCACAGTGGAAAGGAAGCTTATCTCCATTCAACTCAATTTTTAGGGTGATAATATTTCAGGATAGTCAACAGAAGGTTGAATACCTCACTATGAAGAACCTATCCTACTGCTGAGTTGGTTCCCGTGTATCGGACAGTATGCCTTTTGGTGCATTCAGAAATCAACAGATACACTCCTCATGTAAAATTATCAAGGGATAAAATAGTTCAATTCTCCTCAGTTTGCTGCAGCAATTGATATCATGCCTGAAAACCGACTTAAGTGTTTAGAAAGGAATAATTATCAATTTTTACTTGCCCTCGTAACCAGATGCCTTTACTGTTTCCTTGACCTGATTATGCAGTCTTTGGCTCTAATCTCTTTCCTCGCATCTGCAGTGTAACTTTGCTTGTTTCTTGTTTCTACGATTTTAGTTAAACTCACCACACTTTTACTCAGTTTATTAATTCATCATCATCTTAAATAAATACACGATAGCTTCATTCTGAACAAAATGTTTACACAGTGTACGGAATTCTCCCCGTAATTTATTGTATATTTTTTTTCTCTTTATCCATGATCTCCAAGTAAGGTAGCAGTCTGAAGTGTATAACGCAACGCAAAGCTGTTAGATCTGGAGTATAGACTAATCACTTATGATATTTTGCCCTCCTCGCCCGGAAATGCACACCGGTAGTTTGAAAGCCAATTGAAAATATGCATGAGTCCATTTCATCACTCGAGGAGATAGTCGAATGGTTGAGACAATAAGAATTAGAGAAAATATGATGCAATGTATTGGACCGCCTATTGCTATTCGCTCCTGTTTTTAATATGTAACTTTTTTCCATTACATCCAAGCCTCAGACTTATGAGACTTTCGAAAACTTGACTTGCTTCACGAACTCAAGTTCATCATCGTTTACTTGATTAGAATGAATATATGTTATTGAAGTGCTGTTTAGTTTAACGTCAAGATACTTGTGACGTTATGTGATTTAGGATGAGAAATACAACACAGAAGTTGCTTGTAGTGTATCTACTTGTCAATCTGGAATCTTAAGACAACTTTATTAGTTCATGTCTTGATTGGGCTTCGTTCTATTGCTTTTCCTTAAAGCTATTGCTATTACCCTTTGCATAGTTTCCCCAGGCATTCAGGAGTGTCATCACTGATCGCAAAACTCACATACTACTAGAGCTAAAATAAAAATTGTACAGCCAGTATAAACTCACCAGATTGTTAGCTGAATTTGTAATAAATCATTAGCGTAAAGCCTGGCGTACACAAATTTCATTTAAAAGAGATGAAACCTGATGTAGTATTTCCCCTTTAGGGAGGAAGAAAGAAGCATAACTAATGCCCGCTTTCGACCAAATGAATACTCAGCTAGTTGCTTTAAAGCCTGTTTGTCGTACTCGTCGTCAATCTTCCTTAGCTGTTTTATTTACTGACAGTACTTGAGAAAACAAACAGAGCTTCAAGTATTTACTGCCCACACTGGCACCCATATTAACAAATAGTCGTTGATTTACTCAGTCCAGTTATAATCTTTCCGATAAGCTCAAAATGTCAATACATACAGTAAAGTAAATCCATTTTAAGATATCATAGATGACAACTACTGAGCTTTTGTCATAACCATGGAGTGGATTGACCCAGATGTCTGTTGTCCTTTCAATCTTCATTCATACTTTGAATTAATACGTTGTTAGTAATTGGTAGAAAATAAAAGAATCCAAAGAAATATCACACACGTAGGTCCATTAAGGTGGTCAGATCGCACAAACAACAGTATGGAAACAAAATCACCGTAAGGAGAAAGATAAGAAAATAAGACATTAATCCTATGTAAGAGTCTTTATAAATAAATGAAGATTAAATTTCAGACACCCTGGAGAACTAATACAAATATTTCATACTGTTTTTCTCTGGATTATATCAAAGAGAATTTCCAGACATTCATTCAACAAAATCTGATGATTGAGTAAAAGTAATTCGCAATTCTACTTATGACATAAACTGATAGTTTGTTCATTAGGCATGATCTTTCAAAAGAGTCAGAATGACAAAGATTTCAATTTTATCAGTAAACTTTTACAAGAAATCCAGTATGTTTAGCTTATAGACTTTAAAGTCAGTTTCCTCTTGTATGAAGAAATCTCCTTAAATCTACTTATGAATATATATCAGAAAACAAACATTACAATAACAACTATAATGAAAATTAAGAGATCCAAGTCATTCAGCTGTCACCTAAATCGCTCAACAACAACGTCTGAAAAGTCCAAGTTTCGCTAAGGACTTTCACAAATATTCTTGCTGATAACTGTGAATAAGCATCAGAAACTAAGTTATCCCTCTATTTTTGAACTAGGAATGAAAAAGCTGTTTTAGCCATGTTACAACGTAAACACAATTAGTATAAAATTTAGTGACATTCACCTGTTCTAGTACTGCATGCAGTATCAGCTCAACACTTGTACTTTCAACTGGTAATCCTTGTAGTACCTCACTGTAAAACCTCATGTCGACGTATTCTTCTCCTGATGATATGTCTCCGCATTCTTCACTCTTCAATACAATTTTATCTGTACTCTCTGGTATTAAGCTTAATGCTGGTTTGGACATCCTTAGTGTTTGATTTTGACTTAGTTGAGAGTTTTCATCCAACAGCGGTGGGCATATAGGCAGCTGAATAACTTTTATATGCTGTAGATAATTTTGCCACTGACGTCTGAAGTCAATAAGATCATAGAGGATAGTAGCTATTTCGTTGAACATTGAAGCTCCAAAAGAAGCCTAAAATGTTTAAATAAATGAAATAAGAGATGCATCATTTTTGTATAATTTTATAATGAAACTATTTGCTATTATAGAATGTGAATTTTAAATAATGTATAAACTTTCATGCGAGTATGGAGAAATCCTTAGGTCAGGTGTGTTATGGAAGTCATGCACATTTAAGATTTGAGAATTTAATTCAACTACTAGTCAGCTCTATAACCAAGCCCATTTCAATAATAACTACAAAGGACAAAACATCAGAGACCAAATCATTTCAACATACAATGAAGGTCAGCTATACATTAATTAATATCTCTTAAAAACGAATTAAATGTATCTATGCTCTAATGTAAAACATCTCAGTGTTCAAATGGTAATTAACTATTAATTTAGAAAATAGCAGCTTTCCACTTGTACTATAAGAGCAGACTCCTAAATTCAAAATAGCCAAGTTGAAAGTTGACTTATATCAAGCATGAATAAATAAACTAACAGGTTCTGAGTATTCAATTTGCTTCTGGAGCCATTTAGGAAAATTATCTGAAGCCCTTACCCGCAGAGATCGATGAGTTCTGCCTGTGTATATGTGGCCATACGTACATCATTTTTCGCATGTTCAAAGGGCTCAGATGGATATATTGGCTTCACATCGCATTTATTATTATATTACCTGCATAAAAAGTCTTTTTAATAGCAACGTTCAATCTTTGTCTAGTTGTCAAGCTGCTATAATGGTAGATTGATGTACATGTCGTGTATTCTTAAATGGCTCCAAAAGCAAATAGAATCCCCAGAACCCATTAATGGTGAGAACAGGAGACCTAGCTCTTCCATTGAGAAACATACTGTAGAGACAGGACACAAAATTGACATTTGCACATCTTTTAAACCTATCGATAGAACATGTTTGGGCATATCCTAAAGTTTGTGGAAGCCCTGGCTGGCAATTAGGAAGTATAAACCACCTTTATGCATTCAGAAGTAATTCTTCATCACACTAAACCTTCCTTGGTAAATTATTATAAATTATTTAAATTAATCCCAGCGTGTTAAGAAAATCAAAATAAAATTTTTCTGAACGTTTCGCTGTGTAAGCCACAGCTTCTTCAGCAGATTTATTCGGATTTTTATTAATAAAAATAAATAAATAAATCTGGGATTAATTTAAATAGTTTATAATGGATCAATCTGACTCGGCGCTCAAATTATTCCAGGAAGTTCGTAACACCTGCGGTCTGGAAACTTATAATCTTCTTTAGTAAACTTAGCTTTGATAACTGCGTTATTTGGTTTAGTGATCTTCATTGTTATTTTGACCTTCAACATGTCCTTTTAACTTGACTCAAATTTATTTTCTCGCCTCCTAACTCTTTATTAATTTCATATATATTCCTGTGACAAATCCGTGTGTGATCAGATTGTTCGAAATATGTTGCACAAATACATCACAGGATTCAGACAAATTACGTCCTCTTATTGCTTTGTCTAATATATATATATATATATATATATATATATATCCTTAATTTTACCCATTTCTGTGAATAAATTGTTTCAATAATTTAAAAATTTCATCATGAGCTGACATTAGTTAGAGAACCATTGGAAAACCAACTGGAGTACTGGAAAGTTGTTTCGTCCTAGTCTAGGACTCTTCAGTTGTACACACCCACCATCACGGTTCGAACCCAGGACCTTCTGGTTACAAGACGACCTCGTATACCATCAAGCCACTGGGACCCGATCCAATGGCCCATGAATTCTAACTTCTGCCAATTCACGATATAGCGCAACCACTAGCCAATGTCTTCGCGAGTATTTGTCCTCACACCGGACCCGCTGCACCCTACTGGTCACGACTTCCCACTGGAACCCAGGTAACTACCTACCTTAATAGGGCCAGTCGCCAGGTACTGCTGAAGAGTCCCAGACTAGGAAGAAACAGCTGTCCAGTACTCCCAGTTGGTTTTCAAATGGTTCTCTAACTAATGTCAGATCGTGATGAAATCCTGAAACCAATCAAATCCCTACAAACCATCGCTTGAATTTAATCATTCCCATTGTAGCATTAAGAACACAATATTCAGGGAAGAGACTCTTTTCAACGAATTTATTATCAAGCTGTACAATCGTATATTTATGGATTTATAAAGAAATTATATCCGGTGAGGGAATTAGGTCAAAGGTGTGAATACATGAAATAATAATAGTAGTATGAAATGCAATTAAAATATTTGTGATTATAATCATAGTTTAATGTCAAGTGGTAAAATAATTAACGTCATATATAGAATAATACATAAGGTGTATAGATTTTGGAAAGGGGTACATAATTATAAGATTAGTAGACGAATATAAAATTTTGCATAACATGATGTGAAATTTGATAAGATAGAATTCAATATTGTAAAAACACTAAACTATGATTATAATCACAAATATTTTAATTGCATTTTATACTATTATTATTTCATGTATTCACACCTTTGACCTATTTCCCTCACCGGATTTAATTTTTTTTTAAACAGCCATATATATATATATATATATACGATTGTACAGCTTGATAATAAATTCGTTGAAAAGAGTCTCTTCCCTGAATATTGTGTTCTTCATAAATTGTTTCACACCTAACTTGATTTAATTTCTTTTCAGTTAACGACTATAAATATCATTCAGTCTCTACTAGTGTTCGTTTTATTTGGAACTTGTAAGAAGATTTACTGGAATCCATCAACATTTATGCTATTGGTCACAGTTTTACAGAGCATTTTTTGACATGCTTTTAAGCCTCTTTACTGCATTCAAAAGCTTAAAATACTTCAGTTAGAGTGGCCTCATTTGGATTAACTTTCACTGACAACATTTTACTTCATATTCTGAAGAACACACAGTGACATGAATTCCAAATAGGTTGGTGCCATATACTGTTGCTAATTGGCTATTGAATCTCCTATAATGAAATCTTACTTTTCGAAACATATGTATCCACTTCATTAACATTTTAAAACAATCTGTGTATAATGAGATATGTTAACATCTTTATTGACTAAAAAGTAAGTGTAAAGTTAGAATGATAAACTGGCTTTTGTTTGACCAGTGAAACTCACAAACCATCCAATCCAGCGGGGAACCACTCATTGCCTGAATAGCTTGATGGTTATTGCACTTCAATACTGATTAATGCAAGTTTGAATCAGTAACCACAAATACTCATAAAGGGATGCAACATAGTTCATCAGCTTCATAGCGATTGGCTTCTAAGACTCTTAACGTGGGATACTTGCAATGAGAACTTATTTCGTGCCAACAGAATTTCAAAATAAAGAAATTTAAATCTGATACAATCTCAGATTTGTGGACATACTTTACACCACTCATGAGTAGAATATATTTCTAAGCAAAATTGTTAGCGGTAATGCTTGATTACAGTTCTCCATTTGTAGGATTCATCTTTGAAATTGAGTATTATAAATCTTTGCTAACATTTTTTCTGAAAGCAAATTCTACACCAAGGCAAAATGAAGTCTCAGCATTTCCCATCTTATAACTTACATTAGAACAAAATCGAATGCCTACTTGCGATTTTGGAGCATATTGATAGTCAAGACTGTAAATATTTGAAACTGACACGTCATCTAAACGGGATTCTCACATAATAAGTAATTCGCAAGCTCACTAGATATTGTTACAGTGTGCCTTCAAAGAGTGAGGTAGTTTGATTTCGTTTAGTTATCCATGTAATTCTGTTTAATTTGAGACTGACCTTAACGTCACCCAGACTTGTGGCTGGTTCAAGGTCAAGAATGGGAGGAGGTTGGATATAGGAATAGAAACCCCGTCTCTTCAAAAACGATTTCATTGCTACTGCAACCTCAAAGCACAGAAGAAGTAGATTTATTCTTCTGTGAAATCTGGAATACTATTCAATCTGAGTATGGGTAACGCCGGATGATGAAAACCTTGGGGAAGCCAGCCAACCTATATGTCTCATTTCCCTGAAAGTAAAAGTAAGCATAAGGACATGGAATATGCTCACCATGTTTGAGGCTGGCAAGGCTCCTTAGTTAGCAAAAGAATTGGAAAGATATATTGCAATTATATTGCGAAACTGTGAGAGCAGATAGAATGGAAGTGGACTGTCCAAACTGTTAACTTGGGAGTAAATGTGCTGATTTATAAATATTCTTACATTCACACATTTAGTGTATTCGTCAAATAATGAGTCATTCGGCTTGTCCATTTCGTTTCTAATCAAGTTTACGGGTGCATGTGATGACTTAAATAATTATTTTAATTCTGTTAATTACTTCTATTTAGTTTTCAACGTCTAACTGTGCTATTCTTCCTGCATGATTCCGCGTACAAGTTGTAGTTAGTATTTATTGCTAGTTCGTCATAAGACGGTAGAGTCAATAATCCACTCAATCCACCCAAACGAAAACCATGAGCTCACTGAAGCACTGAATACCACTGTTTCGCTTATAGCATTGAAAGTTTTCATGTAGTTGGAACCATCCTTCATCACGATCATGACAACAGTATTCATCTCAATTTAAAAGAAACGAAAGTTACACTTATGTAATGCTAAGCGCCTACAAAAACCACAGACTAAGAGAAGGAAGACTTCTACAGATGACTGACTGCAGGAATTAACAGACAAGACTCAATCCAGAAGGCAACATCAAAATTCTTATGGAAGATATGAATGCCGAAATGGGAGAAAAAAGCTCATCATGGATCAAAAGGCACTATGTGAAATGAATAAGAATGGAGGACTCCTTTCTGACTTCTTTGAGGTGAATGATGGGATTATTGAAGGCACTGTGTACATCTATGAAGATATCCACAAGCCAATAGGGTTTCATGAGATTAACACACAAAAAGTCACCTCTACCTCAAGAAATTGGAAACGCAACCCAGAGGAGTACATGTAGGTTGAGACCACTATATAGTGCAAAGAACCTTGTAATATACAGTTGATAGCTTCCAAATAAACTGTTGATAAATCACAATTCAAGTTCAGCCCCCAGAAACCGAAGGACGAAACTACAATCAACAGCCTTCGTCACTAGAAAAAGTAAGATACATCTGGCAGCATCACTGCTGAAAACCGCATAGAAGAACACAGAAGTCATCTGAAAGCGTCGCAGAAGGTACCCGTGACAAAATGTCGCTAGAATATATTGATTTTGTGAGTGATACATTTCTCACGTCGCAAAGACTCAGAAATATGTTAGCGAAAACCGACCAGTTGGCATACATACAGAAGACAGGGGTGATGAAGATACCTAACCAACAACAATAGCAAACACCATCAACCGGGAGAAATCAAAACGAAATCTGTTTTGCTTTCACTTACCTGGGAAGTATCGTCTCAAGCGCAGGTAGCACTTATGAGGATGGCAAGGCCTGCCAGGATCATATCGAAAAAGTAAGACAGGTATTCATCAATCTGAAAACACTTTGCAGATTTACAATACTTGGCACAAGGAATAACATTCAAAGTTTTAAAACTAATTTGAAGTCAGTGAGTGCTTCTATATGGTCCAGGGACTTGTATTGTCGTCACAAAAAGCACTTCCAAAGGTTTTCAGACTTTCCTCAACAGCTGCCTTTGGTAGCTTGACACTGAAAATCAGATGGCCAGCTAGGAGGGATAAGAAACAAGGAACTCCGGCACAAAACGAATCAACCAAGAACCTATTGCCTGTCAAATATGCAGGAGGAAATGGAGATGGATCGGACATACGCTTGTGAGACAATACGTGCCAAACCCTCGAGTATATCACTAAACGATGAGTTATGCATCCGAGGGTGACAGGGGGATATCATATGGAGAAGAAATGAAAGCTTTTGGGTGGTTGCGAAACCAGCTGACAGAGAATCGAGTGCATTGAAACTGTGAGTCTGTGGGTCTATGTTCCGGTTTGAATACAAGGAATGAGTAATAACATAGTAATTTGAGAATGACCAATCAGTTTCACAGATCAAAGTTACACAAATTAGTTTGCTGATGCTAACGTTTCATTCACAGTTTAATTATTTCGCCTTCTTTTACGTTGGAATCACTGATTATACATATTACGATACTAGATGATTAGCTGAATTTTGTAGTTAACAGTTGAGTCAATTACTGAAAGTTTATGTTAATTAAGAGTATGAATCAACCACTTCGCTTTGAAAGGTGCTTTTAGCCAGTAAGTACTTGTGGAAATATAGATGGTCCAGTATCCTGGTCAGTGAAGCACTCACTATCTTGATAATGTACAGTCAGATGGATCAAATATTTTCCCACTCATACTTACATTCGAATTTCAAACAACATGCTTTTGCTTTTGAACCAAAGTAATCTTGTTAGTGCAAAAATTGAAATTGAAATGTTATAATTTGTAAGTTCGAAAATCATTGATAATGTCCTTATTATTAAAATCAGTGTAGTATATTTAATAAACTCATAAATGACAATGTGAATAACTTACTCTATTTTCTGTTCCATTTAAATCATCAGGAAGTAATTCTGTTTTAACATTATAGTCTAAGGTGGCAATATTTCCAAGACGATCGTATGCATGATCTCGCATTAAAATACTAGTTGTACGCCAGTATTGTCTTAAATGTTCTTCTGCTAAGATTAATGCTTCCTGCTCAGTTCTCATTTGCTCCAAATCTTGTTCATCTGATAATTCAAATAGATGATAATTTTGTTTTTAATGCTGATAAAATTTTACTTAATTGTGCTGACACTATTTGTATCAAAAGATACATTTTGAAAATTTTAGGAAGAAACTTTCATTCTATCAGGAGACAGTAAGTCACAAGATAAATAAATTATTTGTATATTGTAAATAATATCCCTTTCTACCTTAGTTGCTTCCACTATTTCTTTCCATTTATGAAGTTCTTTTCATTATTTCGCTTTTCATTTCATAAATTTGGTCAGTACGTTAATTTTTGTCCAGAATTCACATACTCTATATATTATTCGGAATTGACTAATAACTGAAATTATATGGTTTATCTGATTTTCTTTATCATAGATTAAAGACATTACAAGACAAAAAGAAAAGTTGCACAAGAATAAACTGTAAAAGTCCCACACAATTGTTGGCTTCCACCATATTTTGTCCATCAGTAGAGACTTTTGCAGAAAAACTATTAAAGCAATTAATCATCAGCACTTTCTTAGTTAAATGAATTTTCTATAAAATGCAAATGTTGTTTCTCAGATGCCTCAATTCCATGCCAGATCAAATCTGCCTTCAATTTTTGCTGCTGTGATCTAGATCTGCATTAAAATTCAGACATCATTTCAGTCACTTTCATTTAGTGAAAACAGAAAACATAAAAATATACTTTCGAAAGGACATAAAACACATGTTCTTTGTCAATTACATCTGCTGTAGAAGATAAGTGACATATTTAATGAGGATCATTCCTCATTGTCCGTTTGACAGCTATAAGTTGTCAGCTTTACAGTTTATGTTTACATACTGCCACAGTTAACATGGAACTTCGTCTCAGTTTAGCCAAGATTAATTACCTGGATCATGACTACCTCTAGAAACATGAATAATATTACTCATTGCTTGTAACTAGACTATTCATTACACATGAATATGAAAATGCAAATTAATACATAATATCTGAAAGACAAACACTCAGTTAATTTCTTTCTTGATATAACTGCATTGATTTCACATTACTTGCATTGTGGAAACGTTTACTGTTTAAAAACTGTTGATTGATTGATTTCACTAAATTCAGTAAGTCTTAACTCATATTTTAGGACATTTCTGTAACCAAAAATTCAATACATGATACGTTTAGTTAGTTAGAAACATGGAAACACTTTTGGTTATTCATCTGGCACTTATAAACGCCAGTCGGCATACTTGACAATTGACCTAGATCATTTGTTATCTCTTGAAGTAATTCCATCATTCCATATTAGATAAGTTTATTTTAAAGTTCACATAGTGAGGCAGTAATAACAACTGGATTACGTTTCGAGTATAAATTATAGCTAACAAACAGATCATTGTAGTCAGATGGTTTCACAATTACATTCTACTGCAGTGCCCAAGTTCTACACTAATAATGTCATCTTATTTTCAGTCATACTAAACTGGCTACTAACTAGTAGCATAAGTGTTAACTCTAAAAGAATGAATTTTATTTAACAAGTGTAAGTTGTCATATTACAATGCCTACCTGTTATACTTACTATTACATCTCATTTACGTGAACAGCTTAATATATTTTATTATGACAGACTGGAGGCTAAAAAGTGAATCAGATTAATTTCGTGTTTATAAAAGGATCGGATGGCACAGCAGTAATTTATAAATTTTCTAACTTCTTCATATCACAGTTTCCTTAGTCTTCCGTCTGACTTTCATGTCTCAACACTGATAAATTTGGAATTTCTTATCAGCCACTACATACTTTTTGTTACATAGGAGAAAATCATTTGAGAATGGTTTTCTTTTACATGATAATATTTAATGATTTCTTATCCCCTTCTAATACATTTATTCGCACTGTCACCAACAAATGAACGCATTTCCTAATGTTCATTTTCAACGAAAAGGCAAGGCAACGAAATAAAAGATGGTACCATTTTATTCTGCTAAAACTGTAGTTCTTGCTTTGTTCCGCTAAATAGATGGTGTAGCTATGGGCAGTCCACTTAGCCCTGTCTTAGCAGATATATTCATGTCTAACCTTGAAAGAACAAAGCTGAAGCATGCAATCGACGAAGCATCTTCCTACTGTCGTTATGTTGATGACACATTTATAGTGTGCAAAAATGAAAGTCATGCTTCACACTTACTAAGATTATTCAATGGTGCACACGTCAATATTGACTTCACTATGGAACATGAAAGTGATGGAAAGTTTCACTTCCTCAACATAGCCATGGAACGCCTAGAAGACGGTAGTCTTCAAAAGTCAATTTATCGAAAGCCCACATGGAAAGGACAATACTTGCATTTTAATAGCTTTTGTCCACATAGCTTTAAACGTGGTCTAGTCAAGACTTTTTACTATAGAGCGAGGAGAATATACTCTATAGAGAAACTAGAGGAGGAGTTTGAGTTCCTTGAAAAGATATTGAAGAGAAATGGGTATCCTCAAAGGTTCATCAACAAGTATGGAAGATCTGAAGTCACAAATGTAAAACAAATCACAGTGGGTAAAAAGCCAGTCTACATTCAGCTTGACTATAAAGGTGAAAACATTGCAGCGATGATCAACAGAAGGCTGAGTACATCACTAGCCATAGCCTATCCTGCAGCTAAGCTCGTTCCCGTCTATCGAACAACTTGCTCTTTGGTGCAATCAAAATCGATAGATATCCTTCTCATGTTACCTCCAACTGTGTATACAAATTTACATGTATCTGCGGGAGCAGTTACATTGGAAGAACAGAAAGAAGGGCATATCTACGATTTTCTGAACACGTACCAAAAAGCTTACGTCTAAAGGGAACAAATGCTTTAAACAGTGCCATCACCAGGCATCTCCTCGACACGGGTCATGAGGTGGACGTCGAAAAGTCGTTCAAAATTATCAATAAGCAAAATAGCTCAATTCTCCTTAAGTTTGCTGAAGCCATTTCCATCAAGCGCCTGAAACCTGATTTATGCGTCCAGAAAGAAGCGGTTATCAGTCTTTCTTTGCCCTGGTAACTGGATAATTTCACCTCTCTTTCCTCCGAATGTGAAATGCTAAAAGTTTCCATTGTGTTTGATTATTATTGTTCGGAATAGTGGTTAATATTGCATATTTATATATGTATATATTTTTAGTGTATGCGTATATTGATCGATTGATTTTTGTTTAAACTGAACTCTATGCAAGTATGTTAAAATTGTTGTTGTAGATATATTTAATAATGTCTTTGCCATGTAAGCAGCTGACGAGAAGGCAACGAAATAAAAGATGGTACCACTTTATTCTGCTAAAACTGTAGTTCTTGCTTTGTTCAAATTCATTAAGGGGAATAAATGTATGAAATGTTCAGTTTCTGCTGTTTTTTACCCTTATGATACACCAAATAAGATCCCAGTAACACGAACAGGTTAAGATACAAAGGTTAACTGAAACAATGTCACGCTAAGGTGTCATTATCTCATTAATCCATGCCTAAATTAGAAATCCCTAGAATCATAAATAATTTCTCATGCACTTTCATGATGACCCTAGCTCAACTGACATCTTTGGGTGATAATAATTTGGAGGCTTCACGGAATAATGTTAGAGAAGAAAATAATATTCTGTAAATAGTTTGGTATTTTTAACAAAGATGCCGAAGATATCACCAAGTCTGATGATGAAGCCTCCACGATTAAAATTCAAACGTCGAAAAACGAAAACAGTTTGCGCCCTCATTTCGAACTACAAAAGGTTTTATTATTTCAAATCCCAAAATTTCAATCACTTCACAGTCAGACACAACATATCGTCAGCAGGCCAATTCCTGAGTGGAAAGGAGAAGATTTGCAACTCAGATGGATGGTTTTGACTATTTGTGTTCTCTGAGCTAGATGGTTTACTTGAGAAACAACAACCAGACAATACGCCAGTTGACTATCAACCCGTTAAAACAACCACCAAAAAAATGGAAAAACAATTGCTATAAAAAGATTACGCTACAACGCTGAAGACGCTTCAAAAGCTGATTTCTTCGCTATCCTTGAATCATCACTCAAATCAACAGAGTTAAACAAGGAAACGCAGGAAGAGATACTCCAAACAATCGTTCCGATGTTTGAACAGAAAAACAACACATACAACTCAATTCTCAAGAAATAAAGGCGTTCGAGAAACTGAAAAGTAGGAAAGACATCGTCGAACTATCAGCTGACGAAGGAAGAACTACAAAGAAGAATACAGCAAGGAAGCTGAAGAACTACTTAAAGATAAAGAATTATACCAGTAGCTTACAACAAACTCCATCGAAAAATTAGAAAACCACACCCAGCTTACTAAAACAGGTCTTATCGCAAACAAAACCAATGGCTAATGAAATCCAGCGGACCAGTTCTACCTTGATTCCTATGGGAGACCAGAAATACACAAAAAGACATCCCATTTCGACCAATTGTATCACTCCAAGGATCCCCAAAATAACATTTATCCAAAGAACTATAAAGAAAATTGAAACACTCAACAGAACCCTGCGATCACTTCATCAAATCTGCAACCAAGTTGCTAGAGAAAATTAAAGGCATTCAAGCAGATGACCAAGAAATGATGGTTACCTTCTATGTCACAGCATTATATACTTCACTTGGACAGGAACTAGCAAAAGAGACCATGGGACAATTACTCAACAACGATAATCACCTCCCACAACAATCGAAAATGTAACAAGCAAGTTGGATGGAATGGATATGTCTAACAACGCATTATCAGTTTAGCAGTCAAATATATGAACAAATTAAAGGGACATCTATGGGATCACCTATTTCAGGTCTGATTTCAGAAGTTGTCATGCAAAAACTTGAAAATGTTATCTTACCGAAGATCAAACCAAAATCTAGCTACATTATGTGGATGACACATTAGTAATAGTCAAAAGAAACAACCAAGACAAAACTCACAACCTAGTCAAAGACATCTTCAACGACATCGAATTCCCAAGAGAAGAGGAATATGGGAACTAAATTCCATTCTTGGACGTCTTAGTCAAGCGAACATCCATAGGAAAATTACAAACTCTAGTTTACAGAAAATCAGCCCACACAGATAAAATACTCAATTACAACAGCAATAACCAAATAACACACAAAAAGAGCTGCGTACAAACATCATTCAAGATAGCCAGGGCTCATGCAGCATTCCTGCTTTAAAGAATATCTCATGGACGTCTTCCAAAAGAATGGATATCCAGGAAACTTCATCAAAAGACATCTACCCCCCAGGAAAACACAAAGAAAAACTCTTTACCATACATAAAAGACATCTTAGAAATCACTGCAAGACTTTTCAAACCTTTAGGGGTTGCTGTTGCACATAAACCAACAAAATCACTTCACTCAACTCTGTGTCAACCAAAAGACTCAAAAGCGGAAAAAGATAAAACCAATGCATCTACAAAAAAATTGCACTGACTACGAAAAACACTACATCAACCAAAATGGATTGCCTCTTCTTTTCGTATTCATGATCACAAAATAGCCGTCAAAAGATATGATATCCGCTCTCTCATACCGCTGTATACAGAAAACCACAGACATCATTTCGACTGGAACAACTTCCAAATATTGGGATGAAGAAACATCAAGAATACCAGAGAATTTTCCAAAGCCTTGTATCCCAGTGAATCGGTAATTAACAGGCACATTGATATAGATGAAATTTACCGATCCATAAGAGGCAAACCTCATGAACAAAATGTCAAACTTCGAGTCAAGGGAACAATCAATACTGATACAAATAGATTAGAGGGTGTGAACACAAACAAGAGAAACCAATCAGGTTCAAGTTCACCAGGAAAGATTACTAAAAGAATTCGTGGAGAAATTAAAAAGCTCACTTCAGATTGAAGTGTGCGCTGAGGATGTTGCCTAGTAGGAGAGTGAAAGCTTCGCAAGTGAGCCATCTAGCTCAGAGAACATAACTACATCAAAATCAACTCGCCAATACTACTGACAAACACTGCAAATTGATTTGAAATTCAGTCTCTTGGGTTTAAATATCAAGATGTGAACTACTGAACAGTTAAAAAACACATTTTAGTAGGACAAATTATGAAAACTTACATCCTTTTGAACCCCACATCTTTTCAGCTTTTTGTTTAGTAATTAATATCTGCAACTGCTTTTGATCGTTTACATGTAAGCGTATGATACTGTGAATGTCTATGTGAAGACGACATAACTCTTCCAAAAGCCCAAGTTTCTCGAAGTTAACAAGTAAAATATACCGCGAAATTCCATTGTCTGGTTCATCCCCTGTTAAATATTTTTGCACAAAAGTTAAACTTAAATTAAGAATGTAATAAATTTTTTTAGCAGTTGAAAGGGGTTTCAAACAGTGCTCAATGAGTATTTAGCTCATAAAAATACTCACTTGGAAGTTATTAAAGCTGATAAAAATACTTATACTAAAATTCAAAACATTTTTGACACAAGGTTTCTAGATTAGGAAAGAACTGTAGGCTTTCTTGAGATCATCAAGTAGTGAAAATAAACACTCTGAGAAGATAATTAAAATTTTTTCATTGATATTTCTTTAAAAGATGTAGTCAGGTGATGTGGATAATGACAACCTAGATTTAAATTTACGCTTTAAGTTTAAAACAAGGTGCTTAATCTACGAGGGCTGATTGAAGTAGATGAAATACTTTCAGTGATGATCTATGTATAGTAGTTCTATTAGTAAGGCAAATGTATCATAATTTCACATTAAGTAACAAACTCATTGACTAATTTTTTGATTTTTTGAAATTTGTAGCCACCGAGCATTGATGTGAAGACATTAAAGGAACAAGATAATTCCAGGAAGAATAAATAAATTAACTGAAACAGATATTAACAGTAAACCAAGATAATTGAAGATTACTAAGTGTCTATTTTACTTATGCGTTTATGACCACATCTATTTGGTTAATAATTCACACGGTTATAGTAAACAAAAATCAGGACTACATAAGGAAAAGCAATATTTCTATAACCACCTCAAAATAAAATTAACAAAATTTAAAATAACAAGTACACAAGTAGAGGATAATAACAACTATAGATTAATGATGCAAATACATTGCCACTGTAACGAGTTTCATGTCTCGTTGGCAGGATGTGCCAACTGCTATTTCTTAATATTTTGCATGACTAAACTTTGGTGGTCAACAGTTATTCAAGTAACTTAAACAGTCAGTCATTTGAGTTAATAAATGTGTGAAACTTGAGCACTTTGGTAGTAAGTAATTCCATATTAGTTTGTTTATCAGATGTATCGCACAGTGAAACAGTATTATTTACTGAATGACGTTTTTAACAAAATTTATTCTTTATAATCATATCAATTGTAATCACAGGACTTTGAAACTTGAGTTTTATAGTTTTTTGTTCTCTCCTATTTGTCGTAGGGGTAGTAGAATTTTCCAGATATCTGGGATAGGTGGCGAATCATTCCCATCACACGTATTTGCAGTTGATTCGATAAGTAAAGCTTCCGTTATCAATCTCTCCCTCCACCTTGTGACAGTTTTAAAATTTAATGTCGTGTGATTATAACTGATATGATTATTAACAATAAAGTTTGTTCGAAACATCATCCAGTAAATAATACTGTTTCAATGTGTGATACATCTGATAAGCAAACTAATACGGAATCAGTCATTTGCTTCCTATACTGCTGATACGCCTCATTATCACCGCTCTCATAAATTTCATAACTTTAACTTGGCGACAGGTAGTATTAGGTACTAAAAATGCAGTCATTTATTATGTGGATCACTTGTTACAAGTAGACAATCTTGCCAGTTGATTTATCTTGATTACAAAGAAATATGGGCTTGCGATTTGTGGCTTCATAACATGAAGTCCATATATCGGATTGTTTAATCACTAGGGGGTAAATGTGGATAGTCTGTAATCAGTATCTAGTATGGAGCGTAGTCATAATTGTTTAGTGAACCTGTCAGCATACAATCTACTTGGACTACTAGAATTCTATAGATGTTAAATGTATTCACTGTGAAATAAGGTTCGTTTCCACAGTAGAAAAAGCTACTGTCCTTATTTATGTTTAAAGTGATGACATAAAACTGATTGATTAAGTATAACGAAAATACCTGTGTCCACTTGGGGAAATAGTCATTTTAGAATGTAAATGCACTCTGTGAATTACAAGTAGTTGTAGACGTTTTTTCCAAAATATCAGGATGACCATATTTTATTGAAGTTTTGCGAAATTTTACAAACAGACTTCAATCTATGCATCTATTGCTATGACCAATGTGTGATACGCTGTATCTGTCAGTGAATTTAAGTCTTCATTACGCAATACCGGGTATTAGGTTATTTCAGCTCATATTATGGAAAACATTAGAATTAACATTTTATTGCAAAGTTGGTATGTCCTACCAATGAAAACGTTTATTAATTAAAACTATTTTCAATCTTTACATGGGTTTCCACTCACCGAGATATTTTTCCTCTGGTATTTCTTCTCCACGCTTATAAAGTTTACTTTTCCCTTTGGCAACGGGAGGTTCTGACTGTTTAATATTTTTAGCTCCTACTTTTTTATCTTTAGGATTCTCCTTCTTCTTGGATTCTTCCAGATGGTTAGGTTTCGTGACTGACTTTAAAAGGAATGTTGAAAGTTAGGGAATAATTAGGCGCTTTAATCAACTTAGCGTAGATTGTAAAAGAGGATTTGTTGTTAGTAGCACATGATCCACAAAGTATCATCTTCCAAATGAACAGATCTAGACAAAAATTGACTGATTTTCTAGAGTAATCTAATGCATCCACTTCACAGCATATCGTACGGTTGACGCCATGAATACATCAGGAAACCAAACTGAACTGCAATACGACATGAACTGCTGACTGATTTAGTGGTCTAAACACGTCACCCATTCGAAAATTACACAGTTTGAGGCAGAAACTCACTATGGATCTTCATTCAGAATTGGAGTGACCTGAATTGATCTAGCACTCTCAACTGAGTCGGTGTGGTACACAGCTGATAAAATAGGCCTTTAAGAAGAAAAAACAAGTCCGATGTTTAAATGACCTCACTGTGTCTGGCAATCGCTAGTGATTGACACAAATGATTGTCAACTGTCTTTATAAATAGCCAGTGTATTCCATATTTCAGCTTATATATCTTTAAGAAGCTGATATTAAGTAAAGAACTTATACTTAATGTTATAAGAACACGATTAGCTCACATATTCGTTACAAAACTGAAATATATAATAGTGGTTATCTGGTCACTCCGATAACTTCATTAAATTTCGAATGAAACGAAGAAGCTATAAAATTATTAATAGTTTATTAATGAAGTGCTACAACAACTAAGTGTAAAAATATCCGAGTTAATTTTTATAATAATTTTTAAATTTTCCTAATAAGGACAATTTCTTTCTTGATCAGCAGTAGGAATCTGAAAGTACGAGTTAGCAGACTGAGAGGAAAATGTTGGTTTTGAAGAATGTAGTTGGTTACTGAAATTGATTTCTTGAGGAAATATTGTCAGAGTCTTAAAAATATATTCATTTTCCACCATGTCTCTACATATGTATACATATATATATATATATATATATATATATATCATACTGTTGCACCATTGTTACCTAAGAAACATACCAACCTCTTGTAAAGAATTCAGAGGGGGCAACAAAGATGGTAGTGATCCTTCAGAGCAAACCACATAACGAAAGTTTGTGGAAGCTGTCTCTATACACTTAGCAACCACCGGCTTACGGACAGCTTAATATCCGCCTATAATAGTATAGCTGGTTAGAGCCATCCAAACAACGAGATTCAACGATCAGGTCTTCACGAACTACCAGTTGTTAGTCCACAAAATATTGCAAGCCACAGGGGGAAATCTCGAGCATCCCTCAGGTTCTCCACACTTCGATCCTGCCGCTCCTGGAACTCACTACAAGTAGCCGTGGCCATGTCATCTTTAGTGGAAAACTATGATTGGAGGTTGCATAACCATGCAACAACACACTATCCCTTTCACCACACTGTTATCTAGCCCTTACATGCCGCGATCTACCAATAGGTTTTCAACTGGATTTGTCATTGTCACTCACAGAGTCTTTCATGTGTTACTCTTCTACTCTCTGTTTATTCAGGAATTTACTTATTTTCACCTATACTTCTATTTCTGTTTGTTTGTTCACTGTTTTCGAATTTCCAAACAAGCCATTAATCATGTCACCATCATTCAGATTCAGATTTATTGATTGTTGATGGAAGGCTTGAAGCCCATGTTAATCATTTTCTAGTGAATTTTTGTGCTTGTCCCAACCCTTCTTGAATGAATCAGTTATAGTTGCAGACACCACCTCTTCTAGGAAGACGGTTTCAGTCCACCCACTTCGCTGTTTACCATAGCTGCAGAAAATGACCGCCCGGATGATTCAATCAGAAGCTCACCGAAGATCAGCAACTATCCCCCGAACACCAAAAAGTAGGCTCTAGGAAAAATGGTATTGGACACAGACGTTCTTTAAAATAAACTAGTCTACTGCCTTTTTAACTGACTGTGTATTCATACAAATTTGTTTGATATCGAAAAAGGACTTAATTATCGCTACTTTTGTTTGCATTCTGTCTAAACAGATATGCAATGCGGTACAACAAACTAAGATCACACTTTCATAACTTACATTTTTCTTAGCAGATTGCTGTTTTAGATCTTCTACTCTCAAGTTGTTGAAGATAAACTTTAGAACCTTAGACAGTATTTGTGGGTCCAGTTCACCAACAGATTCTAAGTAATTCTTAGCTAGGACGCAAACTTCATAAAATTCAGGGGCGTCTTTAGTATTTTTATTTTTGCATTGTGCAGCTATTTGGTCTAAAACATCTTCATATGTTACTACCGTGAAGCGTTGTCTTTGTCCATTAGTAACCCCAACAGTCAGGATTGATATTATTTCACTCTCAATTAGGACTGAAGGTGAGATAATAGAGAGTGACATATTCCAGTCATCCTAATCTAAATAAATAAAGCCCAACACTGACATACATTGTTTAGTTTGAGATTACTAAGTTTCGTATCCCAATCAGTAACGTCAATAGAAGTTCTTGGAGTTTTACTTTTAACATTTCGAGCACTTTTGGGCATTTTTGAAAAATCACAGTTCGGTTTACATAGCAAATACCTTGAGGTTATTTCGTTTAAAAAGAAAAACAAAATTAGTTCGGTGACAGAAGCCTATGATGTTTTCCCATTTAATGGGCTTTGTTTAACCAGCGAAGCCAGTGTACTTGCTTGAGATACAAAGCAACCAAGAAGTATGTTCTGTAAGTCAGGCTTCAAACTCTCACATATCTAATATTGAGTGTATTTGTAACCGTATAATTTAAACCTGTTGATTTCTTGACGACATTTTTTCATTGCTTTAGAACTATGGGCCCCTGAAGCTTAACCCGTCAAGTGCTGCAGGACTGCTGAAGTCACAAGGAGGCAGTGCCAGTTCATTTTAGACATTTTTAGAACTAAATGAGTATCGCTTCTGGGACATAATGTTCCTGCCTTGTCACATGGTAACATCTTGAGAAATTTCAGAAATTGGGGTGACAATGGAATTGAAGGGTAACCAAGAAAATAAGCGAATACGATGGGGAATATAGTGTAAAATGCCCTCAGTATGAAGAAGAAATGATGAGAAACCTTGACAATAAAATAAAATACTCGAGAGTAGAATGAATAGGGAAATTAGTGATTTGAAAATTCAAATATATGCAGCACTAACAGAGACCTCTGGGCTAAACAGACGTGCTCCACAATGGCTTTGCGATGGCACCTCTTTGTTTAGGTCGTCTGGGTTGTGCACTACTGTTATACACCTGTAATTATTCAGCAGCTAAGACGAAATGGATATATATTGCAGGGCTGATCATAGTGCTAGTTTCTTTATAGGGAAAGAGTTGGCTACTCTTCTTTTCATGTCCACTGATTGACTGGTGTTCCCTTTTTGGAAGCTCTGGCTAAGTAGCATAACAGACCCCTGATTATGGCCATATATATATATATATATATTATTATTATTATTATTGTATCCTTTAGTTCCTAGAGGAACATAGGGCTTCAGCTGCGCACCTCCATTGACTTCGGTTTTCTGACAACTTTTTCACCCTGCTCCAGGTCTGCCCACATGCTTTCATCTCCTCTTCACATGACCTCCTCCAAGTCACCCTTGGACGACCAACTCGCCGCCTCCCTTTCGGGTTCCACTCGAGGGCTTGTCTAGTGATGTCACTTGATGGTTTCCTCAGCGTATGGCCAATCCATCTCCATTTCTTTCTGCCTATTTGTTTCACAATCGGTTCCTGATTGGTTCGCTCCCAGAGATCCCTGTTGCTGATCTTTTCTGGCCATCTGATCTTGAGTATTGAGCGGAGACAGTTGTTAATGAAGGTCTTAAGTTTGTTTGAGATGCTCTTTATGACTCGCCAAGTCTCTGATCCGTATAGTAGCACTGACTTCACATTGGAGTTGAAAATCCGGATCTTATTTTTGATGCTGATTGCTGTTGACCTCCACACAGATTTGAGAGTAATGAAAGCTTGTCTTGCTTTTCCGATTCTGGCTTTGATGTCTTCGTCAGTTCCGCCTGTAGTTGAGACGATGCTTCCCAGGTAGGTGAAGGAGGTTGTTTCTTTCAGGTTCTTCCCATTTATGCTTATTGTGGTCTGTTGTTGCTGTTGATGTTGGCAAGGAATCTTCATCACCTCTGTTTTATCTATGTTCACGTGAAGTCCTATCTTTGATGCTTCTTCTGCCAACTTGTTACTTTTCATTTGCATATCTTCCAGTTTATGGGAAATCAGACATATATCATCGGCGAAATCCAGATCCTCCAAGTCTTTTGTGTCAGTCCATTTTATGCCTGTTCCCTCGTTGGTTGCCGTTGTCTGTCGCATTATCCAATCAATTGCAATCAGGAAGATCATTGGTGATAGTAGACAGCCTTGCCTCACTCCCGTCCTCACTTCGAAGGCTTCCGTAAGTTTCCCGTTGTGGATTACTTGGCATGCAGCATTGTCGTATAACTGTTGGATGAGGTGTATAATTGTCAATGGGACCCCGTAGTAGCGAAGTAGTTTCCAAATGACCTCTCGATCGACGCTGTCGAAGGCCTTTCCAAAGTCGATGAAGTTGAGATAGAGAGGTGACTGCCATTCCAAGCTTTATAATAATAATAATAATAATAATAATTTATTTTCATATAAACATAAATTTACATGAAAATGCATGCCATTTTTACAGGCACGATCAAGGATGATATAATGTCAAATCTTAAATTGTCTACAAGTTAATAATGTTTCAACAGTTAAATATTTGATATATATATAAATACACATTGTCTGAACTAGGCTGTATAGTTATTGAATTGTACAATTGTCCTCCAGGTTGAGCGGGAAAATCGACTTCGTTTCGTTTTCATCCCGTGGTTGTAGGCATACGATAATCAACCAATATTGAGGTAAGTACAACGTTTACAAGGAATTGGAAGCTGTTTTAGAAAAATTAAAGTGCTGTGGTGTAACATTAAAGTGTAATAGATTAAGTGAGTGAAATATATCATTAATAAACACATTTATATAGAAAACAGAATGGGGAAGTAATTAATCCTTAGGCCGACAACGTTCATTTGCAATGTATAATGAAACCAATATATTTTATACTATCATGCGTTCACTTTTGGCTTTAATACAATTATTTTCAAGCCAGTTGTCTTTATTTCATGTCTTTTTTTCTATTTGGTGCACAACCGTACCCTCCAGAGAATAGGAATAGAATAAGTCGAATCAAATTCATAAAGAGCTATAAAATGTTAGGTTTAATGGAATATAATGAGAATCAAGTAAAGACGTTATTAGAAAGTAAGTGAGACAAGATATTGTGAAGTGGTATTTAAAGATCTGACAATGGATAGCAAGTTAATTCATAAGATGCCCCATAAATCTGTGCAGATCCCACGTGGTCGCATCTCAACAATAGGCTGAGCGAATGGTATATATTTAAAGGTAGAAGCATTATCTGTCAAGGCGTTCACTATTATCTTTTTCAAGATAAAGATCTAAGCCCTCATAAAAATCAGAAATATCTCGAGCCTTTAATTTGTATATTGCTGTTCCTGCAGAATGGGGCGATTCACCTTAGTGACCACCACCATATCTACTGATCAGCTAACGCCACCCTCCCTCCTTTTTTGATGTTAGGCTCTGAGACTATGATTATTATGGCTACCGCAAATATATTGCTTGGTACCAGACATGTTCGTACCCCATATTCCATCTCCCTAGCTTTCTTAATGAGTGCTTCCAATAGGTCTCCACGTACATCTTTACGAACATATTATATATGTGTGCATGCATCCTGATGAACAGATTACTTTATAAGAAGTTAAAACCTTAAAGAGTAAAACGAATAGGTATTGTGAATAGTGGAGCAAGATTTAGCAGAATACTATAGTTAAGGTTCAATTTAGGTAGTATGGACTGAAGGTAAGGTCGGTTGGCAGGACTTAGTGTACTAAATTTTCATGACAGTCTTATATATAGTAAACATCTGACATTGCAAAGTAACGTGTCTAGACATATTATAAAAAGATATTAACACAGAACCAACGAAATTTTGGCGTTTTTTAACAATACTGCAGTGTGTGTATACTGAAGAATGGTGGTTAGTCTACAGGGAGCCGTAGAGTAAATCAAACCATATATGATAAGAGTATAATCAATAATATAGTTCGTATATCAAATATTACACTAGGTTCAATAATTGAGTGTTATAAGGGAAACAAGCGTGGTAAAGCAAGAGAACATTTGATGCATAAATATTTTAAGTATTTTAATATCCATCTAATTTAAGAGTTGAACATGCATGATTAATAAGTATTGTTATATTAGTATATACATATGTAAAACGTTAAAAGGTGTGGATGCTATTACAATTATTTCCAGTGTTACTTTCACCAACACAACTTAGTGAAAATTATAGAGAATAGAAATCAGTAAATTAGTTAACGTTCGCTGCGTGAGTATTAGAGTCGAGATATACGTATGTGACTATACTGAAGACTGGACTGGCCTTCAATTTCCGTTCTACCAACAGTTGTGGTCTTTTAGACGAGCTAGGGTGGACATGTTAAAGTGTCTTTCTAGGCTCCGTTTGAACCCATCAGGGTTTTCACAACATCTTATTTCAGGTGGTAGTTGGTTCCAAAGAGTGCAATATTTTATGGTGAAAAAGTTTGCCCTAATGGATTTTCTGTGGGTAGCCACCTTGACAAGGTAGTCGTGGTTTCGCAGCTGATATGATTTAATATTTTCCCAAGTTATGGATGAGTTACTGTAGCAGTGTTTCCTAATGACTTTGAAGAGTAGAAATAGGTTGCACTTCACTCTCCTTAACCACAGAGGCTCTAATTTCAGACGTACACACCTGTCAACATATTCCACTTGTTGGTCGAACCCTATTATGCGTTTCGTGAGGAATCTCTGGACACTTTCGATTTTTTTTCTGTCTACAGTCCTGAGGTTACTAAATAGGAGAGCACAATATTCAAGTTTGGGACGGATACATGTCCTATATATAGCTAATCTCTCGTTCTCAGTTGTCAGTGTAGGGAAATATGTGTCTATCAGTAGCTTCACCTTAGTATTCAGTCTTCAAGCTACCCCGACAAGAAAGAATTCTAATACCTCCAATCATTCCTGGATACAGACAAACTGAAGTACTGCGTTTTCACCAGAATAGACAGACACTTCCCTTGAAGCCAACAAGTGAATCGAGTTGAGTGGCAGGATACGCGAAACTCACTTGGTAAATACGGTTGGCTGAGTCCAACACGGCTGCCGCCTTCGCTATATGGATCTGCAATCTTTAGACCCTCGTTATAATACTTTGCTGCCGATTCTCAAAATACTGCTGAGTATTACGAGATAACTATCATCATATTACGTTCGTTTCACGTCAAGCAACTTTTCGGCGCTGAAAATAATTGTTTAACTTCTTTTGAAATTTTCAGTTCACATGCCAGGTTCTACTAATAATTCTAATTACTCCTTATTTTTTCATGCACCTAATTCCCTATTGATTTTCTTATTTCGGACGTTTGATCCTCTTAATAAACTTC